AATAAGCTGGGAGTAGAGACATGAAAATCACCAGGACTACTCATGTAAAATATACATACCGCTTCCTGAGCCCTTCCCAAACCTACTAAATTAAAAGCCCTGGTCCCAGAAATAACTATCTTTCAAATGCCCCGTGATTTCTAAGTAAAGCCAAGTTTGGGTCCTGGCCAGTGTGGCCCGGGGGTTAGAACATTGGCCCGAGAACCAAAGGGTCCTGGGTTTGAGTCCCAGTCAAGGGCATGTACTTAGATTGCAGGGTTGATCCCCAGCCTCAGTGTCCTGAGGGAGGCAACCAAGGGATGTGTCTCACATCAATGTTTCCCTCTCCCTCTCTCCCCCTCTTTCCCTCCCTTCCACTCTCTCTAAAAAAAAATCAATGGAAAAATATCCTTGAATGAGGGTTACCCACCATCATCAAAGCCCAGTTTGGGAAGAACCACTGGGGCAAGCACAGTTCTCAGCGGTGCCCCCAAGTGACAGTTCTTGGCAGTTCTCAGTAACTTCTTGGGGCAACTGCTTTTCAGAGGAAGCGACTGGGCTGATTGCAACCCAGGATGGAGGTGGCTCCCTGCAGCGCTGCTGGAGAGGTATGTCTCTGTAGCTATTGCCACCAAAATGACGGAGGCCCCCTAGTACGTTGCTTCCCACCCTGTAATTCCTATTTGGAGCTCAGCATCATTTCCTACAAGCAAGGCAAAGCAGGGTTCCTGCTGAGCCCTCTTTTGGCAGTAATGATACAAAATTGCCTTTCTAAAATGAACTTCTTGAAGTTCAGCTCATAGACTCCTTCTGTTTACAGGCTGGACAACAGCATACTGGTCATACTAATATCCCTGCATTGTCCTCCCTGATCTCTCCTCTGCCAGGTGGGCGCTGCGACTTGGTCATAACTTGGAGCGCACATCTCCTTCTCCTTTGAGTGCAAGCCCAGGATGCTGGACTGCAGGATTAATCTTTCTTGGGAGTAGTTGAACTTAATTATCTATGGGCTAGGGTGCTGCCCCCAAACACCCTTCGGGCAAGTCCACACAATTAACATTTATTGATCTCTCACTGGCACTGTGGGGTGGAGGGCAGAGAAGGTACAAAGCCACAGAGTGGAGAGCAAAGAGTGGGGGGTGGCGGGGCAACAAATAAGGCTGAAGAAATAAGCAGAGGTGATGCTAAGATTCAAGAGGGCTGAAGGAAAAGCTAAGCAGTCTCTAATGATGACCTGAACATTTTAGAATATTTTAGAATATTCTCCAAAATTCTCCAGACAAGTGATAATGTAATAAACCTTAGACTCACTGGATTTGGTGTTAGTCACAGAAGACTATTTTCTATTACCTATAACATAAACATTATTACTTAGTTAGTTATAACTGAGACATTTTATTTTATAATGTATTGTTTCATGGGTAAACCTTAAAAATATTCTACTCTTATTTCTCTTATTATCTGTCTTAATTTTATATTTAAAAGGTATTGTGAAGGTCTGGAAGCAAATGCTTATTCAACATTTAATCAAAAATATGTACTTTGCCCAGCCGGTATGGCTCAGCGGTTGAGCATTGACCCATGAACCAGAAGATCACCGTTTGATTCCCAGTCAGGGCACATGCCTGGGTTGCTGCTGGTTTGATCCCCAGTAGAGGGTGTGCAGGAGGCAGCTGATCAATGATTCTCATCATCGATAGGTTTCTATCTCTCTCTCCCTTCCTCTCTCCGAAATCAATAAAAACATATAAAAATATGTATTTCAAATCATAGTTATATTATAGGTGATATTCAAAACTATATTGCTTTAGAAGGAAAGATGACTTAGGACAATTTATATATTAAACTAACTAACTCATGTATTAAAGAAATTCAGTCTCAGAGATATTAGATGATTTGTGCAAGATCCCACAAAGACTCGAGCCAGGATCAGAACCCAGTCTTTTAATCTTACGTACATTCTTCTATAACACAATATCTCAGAATTAGGACTCCTTCTACTTATACTAGATTCAGCATCTCTGTGTTTCCTCTAAACCATTTTTGAATGTAGCAATTACCAACTTTTAAAAATCAACTTCAAGTCTTTACTAAAGTATAAAAGAAACATTATCTTGGGAGTTAGGGGAACTGGATTCTTTTTTCTGTTTTGTTACCAGCTGAGCTGGATATCTTGGGGAGTATCACCTACCTTCTCTGGACCTGTTTATTCCACAAAGTAACATGTTTTACAACATAAGCTATGTAAAATGAAGCAGATATCCTAGGAGAGGTCTGAATTTAATGATTATTTTTTAAATACTATCAGTCCACTTCAAATATTTTGAATTCCTTTTTGTTTCTCGCCTCACTACTTTCATGTGAGAGAATAGACTTTAAAAATACACAAGCCACAGCAAAAGTTGAATAAGTTATTCTTAATAGTCATTACCAGTGAATATGTTCAGTGAATGTCTAAGAGTGAAAAGAATACAGCCAGTTAAACGAACGACACCTCTGTTTGCTCCATGATGACAACTTGACATGATTCAAAATATGGAGAACCACGGCTGATGCAGAAACAGAATGATTTGGGGATATGCATGTAACTTTTATATATCTCATATGATATTATTTTATATTATCCAACCAGTCTCTGAGTTGGACCATTTTTTCAAGGTAAAGAATAGTTTTATAAATAGTACATAATTATTAGTCCTGAGTAAACACTAGATCCAGGAGTAAAATAATAAAACTTCAACTCAAATATGTCCTCTCTGCAGTCCCTCCCTACTCCCGTAGCCTCAGCCCAGCCCGGTCAGGATTTGGACGTCTCCGGGCACAGAGCATGTTCAACAGCTGTTTGACTCACTGCACTTGACTCCTAGTCCTTTGGCAGACTGAGATCTCTGCTGCAAACACCATTTGGAATCTTTCCCCCAAAAGTGATATTTTTGAACATGGAATCTAAAATATAGTGAGGCACTGGTATACGTTCATAGAAAAAATAATGCAAAGGACAGTGTGACAGATTTGTCAAAAATCTAACGTTCCCCAAGAAGTGTTTAAGAAGATAACCTTAGATTGGCTGAGGTGGGCATGATAGAATATGAATATGGGTTCTGAAAATGTGAATATAAGAATTGTTAGACGGACATGAGCAGAGCAAGGGCGATGGGCAAGGTACAGAAGCTCACCAGGGCAGAAAGCCCCGGATGCCTAGCAAGGGGCAAAACTGGGAAAACAAGAGCCTTGTCCCCAGGGTGACCTCCCCTCCCCTCATGTGGTTTAGACCCCCTACATGTTTCCTCCCTAAAGATAACATCTAGACTTCAGTTGTATTTCAGCTCCAGGCCCAGAAAAGCAGCAAAACCAGACACGTGGCACCATGGCTGCCTCAGGACCAGCTACACTGACATTTGACCCCCTGCCCTGACACTGACCAATCAGTGGAGACCATGACCCTGAAAAAGCACACCTGGAAAGCTGATGAGTATTCTATTGAGACCCTCCCCTGAGATATCCACCTGCAAGAAAGAGATTAATATGCTCAGGACAAAGGACCCAGCTCTCTCTCCCTACCAGGGAATCTGCCAGCGCCATCTCCTTCCTCCTTCTTCCCTCTGAGGGGGACCCATGAGACTTGCAACCTGGGGAGCAATGGGCAGCAGCAGCGGGTCCCAGGCTTACCCCCTGAACCTGTCTCCAAGGCGCACTTCTCTCTCTGACTCCTCAGTAAACCAAAGCAGCCCAGCCTGGGCTCTCCTGTTACTTCTATGCTCTTCCTTGTTTCACTGTCCTAAGTATATTTTTGCTGCCATCATGGACCCAGTACCCTTTGGCTCAGTGCTGTGTAGCCCTTCCCTTTGGATAGCCCCATCCCCCATCCCCTTTTCCTTAAATAAATTCAGTTTTTCTTCATTCACCTCTGAGATGGCTACTTAGCCTGCCTGCGCACCACCAACCTTAACCTTTCAAAAATGATACTAGCTTCAGGTATATGGATTATTAAGGAGAGAATATCAGATATGATTATCAATGGAGACGTACATAAGCAGGTAGGACAAAAGGAGCGAGGCCACAAATAATGAAGGGAGACAGATTAGGAAAATATAATCAGAGAGTCCAAGAGAGTCACTTATCTATGTTTTGGGCATTTGAGAGGAAACTAATAATAATAATAAAAACTACACAATAGTTATTATTATTTCAACAACAACAACAAAAATAGTTAATGCTTACGGAGCACTTAGTATATATGCCAGCACCACTCTAATGCTGTAAATATAATAATTCATTCAATCTTTTGACAATCATATAAAGTAAGAACATTATTATTGTCCCTAATTTATAGGAGAGAAAACTGAGGCGCAGAGATGGCTCACAGATCCCACAGAGGGTAACAGGCAAAGCCATGGCTTGAATCTGTGGCCTAAACCCCATGAATAAATCTAAAATCTTAACCACAGGATAAAAGGTGCTACAGAGAAGTAGAACACTTTTGAATTAAGCATATATTAAATATGAGATAAGCAAAGCCTGGCCGAAGAAAATAAACCTCATTGCAGCCCTATGCGGTGACAGTAAAAAACAAAACAACATCAACAAAATAAACATGCAAAGAATTCCCTTTTTTAGGTCCTTTGTGTGAATTGTATTTCTTTTGGGATTTACTTCTTTTGTCCCCATCATCAGACCAGAGCACACACAGAACTAAGACTTCTTTTAAGGTCTCAATCCTCTAATCATTAGCATTGTCAGAAAAGTCTCTTTATATGTAAAATTAATCATTGACTTTCCAAACTTAAACCCATTTCCTCCTCTCTGATCTTTATTGGAGATGGGAGATACATACGAGATGAAGATAGTTAAAATTCTAATCACCTTGGGTTTTTCCCTTTTATTTAATAACTCATTTAAATGTACTTCTGTGAAATCTGACTTTAAAATATCTCTGACATTAATTACTGATATATTCGAGTCTTTCCGACAAGCCCATTTGGCCATCTTAAATGTACTTACAGTGAGTTTCCTCATCTTACCTCTCCGTTTTCTAAGGGGTGTATCTTGGAATAAAACGAGGTGCAGATGACCTCGTCGTCCTTGGCGTAGGACGGGGGCCCGGTGCGGGGATAAATGCCGTAGAGGGTCAGGCACTCGGCGTCGGTCACAGCGTGGTACTGCCAGGGCTTGTAGTCCGCGTCGTCCAGGGAGCGTTCCAGGATCCAGTTTCCAGGCCGGGGGGAGTTCGCTGCCTTCACGATCACATACGCGATCTGGAACACCTGGGCAGGGTGACAGCCACCGGGGAAACTTTGAATTCCAAAGTATTCTCACATTTTACACGTCAAGCATAAAGCTTGATGCAACAATAGATTTTATTTCAGATGTTGTTCTATAACCCTTTATAGTCTGTGAAATGATATTACTGTTGCATGTTCATAGTTAGTACCTTCTTGGAAGATGCGATGTTTCATTTTGACAGCCGTGTCTTTAAAAGAAATGAATGAAGATTGGATGTTAGCTCTCTAACAACTCGTTGACATCATCTCACTCAATTTTTAAAGTTCCATTTTAATCATGATCACCTAAAGTATTCATTACACACCAATTTGCTCATCCGACTGTGTTAGAGAGTATAAAGCATGAGTTAGAAATTCCATGTGTGCATGATAGTGCTTGATAGTTTAAAAGATATGCTTACTTGTATTACCTAATCCTCCGAAAGCACCACTTAGGTGGGGTTAGTGTGGTGCAGCAAAACCAACACAGAGCTTTGGAGGCACAGTTCTGTATTCGAATTGTGGTCTCAGCATTTATGTGATCTTGGCCAGATTATTTTACTTTTCTAACTCTTAGCTTCCCATTCTGCAAAATAGGGTCAATAATTAGCATACAACTGAGAGGTAATTTGGATTAAATGAGATCATGTGTACAAAGTACCTGGCAAAGGACTTGGCAGTAAATAATAAATGTCACTTCCTCTACCTCCCCAAATAGAAAATAAGGGAGAAGAAATGCTAGTACAGCAGACATCTGATTGAACCGGGAACATATTAAATGAAAGGTTTCTGTACCTTGTGCACAAGAGGTAAATATGTACAAATAAGGGGGATAAAGAACGGCATGAGTGACAACAGAGGCGAATGTGGTATTTTCAAATCTACATCAAATTTGAAGATATAAAAAAAATACCTTGGATGTTTCGTGATAGTGCAATTGTGAGTCTTCCCCAATGCAGCCCCAAAGTCAAGGCATAGTGTACAAACATTGGGTAACATTTATGTGCAATTCTTTGGGTAGAAAGATACATATAAACTAATGTAACTTACAGTCCCATCATCCATGGGTTGGTGATAATGAGACATATGAAAAATATACTGCTAATAAGGGGACATGTTCTGTTTATGCTCTGAGATATGGGGAGTTTGACAGCTCTAAGCTCGAAGTGACCGGGCTCACTAGAAGGGTACAACTGGGAGGGCAGACCCAATAAATAATGTGATTAAAGGGCCTGCTGGGCTGCCCAGGAAATCCTGAAAGAAATGTCCTGGAAATAAACTTGGTCTGCTTCAGTTTTGACATGAGACCTTAAGGAATATATAAACAGTCTTTATGGTAAACTCGAAGGGACTGAATTTAAAAATATGAGGTTGGTAGAGAAGGGGTAGTGGGAGTGGGCCTGACGCAGCTCTTTTGAAATGGTCTGAGGTCTTTTGAGGTCTTTACTAGAAGGCGGCCACACTAACGTGCAGTGAGCAAAAAACACAAGCTATCAAATGATTAAAAGGGGGCTGGTATTTGCTTTTTAGGCACAGCTGTGGAAAAACCGGTGGTTAACATACTGAAATACTTCTGCACTTGCTGGTGAGTTGCTGTGGGCCAAGCCTCCCAAATGCGTCCTGTCCCATGAGGCCATCTGGTTAACCTCAGCATAGCAAAAAATAGCCAAGACATCTATTCTGATTGGGCTATACTTTGCTCTGCTTTATTAAATATCTCTCTGGGTGGGAAATATCATGAATCTATATTTACAACATATACAGATAAGTATAAATGCAGATACACACACATACCTATGATTGTACATATAACTATACTTAAAGATACTTAGACTTTTGGGGAAAGATATGCATGACATGTTAAGGTTGTTACCTATGAAGTCTGAAAGTAAGGAGTTAAGGGGGGAAGGAGAAGAGCTTTCACTTTTCATCCAATATCCTGCTGTATTTATTTATTAACATAAATGCCTTCGTTCTTCATAAAATTACTTTTAAAATAAAGGAAAAATGAAAGCAAATCAGTATCAGGAAAAGCATAAGAATAGGACTAATGAAAAATACTCCATCAACCATTATCCAAAACATTTGCTATTTCTACCTTTTTAAGGTGTTATTCATGAGGACGTGGTTTAGATACTCCACATTCAACAACTCATTCACATGAAATTTCTTTGTGAAGAAATTCACTGAAGAACATACCTATTGAGTAATCTGACAGAACACAGAGAGATAGTTGCCTCGATTATAAATATAAAACACCCTGGTCCTAATTTCTGGCAATCCTACATACAGTATTCGAGACAATGTTACTAAAATGATAAATACAAGTAACTAAATTGTGAGCTCCTAAAGAGCAGAGATGCTACAATCCTTATAACTTGTTTGAAATAGTGGGCATTCAATATTGATTAGATTTAGTTAAATAACCAAAATTATTGTAATGTGCTCCCTTGTTACTTCTATTAGCATAACACTGATTTGTTTTCACTTTTGTTTTCTTCTGTTTGTTTGAGCTTCAATCCCAGTCACTGCTAGGCTATTTTGTCAGGTGCAGAGACTAAGACACATATAGTGTTCGTCCTATTATGTTTCTGTGAGCTGAGAAAATTACTTAAACTCTTTTATCCTTAGTTTTATCCCAATGCTTCCTTTCCAGAGTCAAAACCATGAAAGAGATGCTGAGATAATGAATACAAAACATGGTGTATTCTCTGGGGGAAAAAGGAATCTATACAAATATTTCAAATTAGCATATTTCCTTCTAGAAAAAAAATTGCTGAGATATTAAATAAAAAAAGCAAAGCATACTTAGAGATCATAGTTACCCAATAAAAAAAAATAAAGATACACTGAGGTTATGGCTAAAGAATTTTGTTTAGAAAGCAGCTCAGCAAGCAAATATAAGAGGCCAAATTCTCTGGAGTTACAATGTGGATACATATGACTTAGGAATTTCTGTGTAGGCTCTGGAATAATAGATGAAATCCATGAAATAAAGTTATACTAGAAGCCCCACAGACTCTTTCTATAATTCAATATAATGGTCATCATTAAGTGACATGAAAAAGCAGTCATTGCCTTACAGACTATTAGAAGAGGCCCATTTCAAAACAATAATGCCCTTTCATTTATTTTCTATGGATCCTTTCACATTCTAAGAAAAATTAATTAAATTAGTTGGCATGTATTATTTTGAGTAAACTTTTAAAAATGTGGTAGAAGGTATTATTGAAAACCACAATGAATAGAAGTACTCTTTCAAGGCATCAGAGAATGACTGAAAATTTTAACAGTGATTTTCTAAGTACTCTGATTTTAATGACCCTACTAAAATAATTCTCTTTAGGTACCTATGCTACTTTCATTAACTATGGCTTCTATTTTCAGTATAAAGACTCTTCAAAATCAGTAGTTATGAAACCGTACTTCCAGATGAATAAAACCCTAATTTTTATGGGGTGCAACAAGGAAAGAAATTATGTACATCTCATTATGAGAAGTACAAAAATACTTTATCAGCTAGGTTTGATCAACCTTAGATATCAATGCATAATTCCCAAATTTTTATCTGTTTGAAGGCACTTTTTATAAATTTGGTGCATGAAGAAAAAAATCCAAAATAACTTTGGAAATAATACCAAATGTTTGACATTTTATACATATCAAAGTGAATTTTCTATTTCATATTCCATTGGTATGTCATCTAACAAGATATAATTACTTCACTGATGCAGAACTGAATTAGATGTTCCTGCTATACTAAGCAGTATATTAACAACGTAATCTCTTTTAGGGTAGAATTGGAGAAAAGAGTCTTTCTAAAGAATCTTCAGTCCCAAAGTAGCAAGTTATGTGCAATGACCATCATATATATAGCGATGCTTTCCAATCTTTTTCACAACATGGCTGAGATACAATATTGGTACAGTACTGGGGTAAAAGGAGATCTCACAGCCCTAAGTGAGCATCCTAGAGGCCTTGGCCAGTGTGGATGCTGCCCAGGGGATGAGTATCTTAGCTCATCTATAACCAATTGGTTCTGATACCAAGAACCAATTTCTAGCACACGCATTGCCGAGTCTGGATTTTTTAAAAATATCCTCTGCTGTAACTCTAAGGAACTCACTTTTATCCCAGTTTCTTTGTCCTAGAAGAATCATAGATCTAGAAACATGTTACCAAAGAATATTGTGTTTCAGAGATTTTACTGAGAATTTTGAGTGTCGCTGGCATACAATTAAGAGAGCCAGGCCAACATATGACTCCTTAATGATGTAACCAAGCCATGGGACCTGTTTCCTATAGGCTAATCCCCAAGAGAGCCATGAAAATACTGATGAAGGCCACTCTATATGGAAAATGATACTTCATCTTTCTCATAAGGCTTGAATTAACTCTTCTATTTCTTCTTTCTTAATCTCTCAAGAGAACATGTGGCCATCTAATCCTGCCTGCTGTTGAGCTCTGCCTCCTTTCCCCACATGGCTGGCTGCTATAAATTTCCTATAGCAAGTCCACGTAACAAAACTGCTTAATTTTGAAAGTGGCTTTGCAATATTCTAGCACCTGCACTTGCCCATAATTTGAATTTTTATCATTTCCAGGCGCTGTGATGCCATCCCTAATATACTTTGAAAACTCAACTGTATTCTTAGTTCTAAAAGTGTGTTTATATTTATCCATATAGTTATATTGGCTTTTGGAAAGTAAAGAGAGTTACACAATATCCAAACCAGAAAGGATCCTAGCAATTGTGAGTTTTCAAGCTTAGTACCCACTGGAACAATGAGGGAAGACTTCTAGAAATGTGTATACATCTCCATGTTTGAGCTGATGGATGTAACTCATATTGTTTGCTCTTTTCCCTGAGAATTCAAAAGAGAGAATAAAGAACTAAAATAGAAACCAGTAACAACCAAGAGGAAGGGATGGGGAGAGTTTGGCAGTTTTCTAGAAGGTCTCTGGGACCTGGCTAATGGGGAAGAGCAGAGGTCAGGGCCTAA